GGCAACAACGTTGGTCTACTATGCTCGGCAACAAACTTCAATCTATTAAACCGAGTATAGGTTACTGGCCGCCTTCTTATCACCAGTGTCGAGGTTGGGAGACTACACTCTCCCGTCTTCGCATTGGCCATACTCGTCTTACTCATGGATATCTCATGGAGAGGCGCCCTGCTCCTCTCTGTGAGAATTGCCAAGCTCCATTATCAGTCAGCCACATTCTGTTGGACTGCCCATTTTATCAACGAGCACGCAGAATTTACCTCCGTCGTCGTCTTCGCTCCGCTGCTCTCTCTTTACCTTCCCTTCTCGCTGATGGACCCACCTTTCATCCGGACTCTCTCATTGACTTTTTGACAACAACTGACTTACTTCACAAATTCTGATACCTTCAGCCCTTTCTACTTCAATCTCTTGCTACCCTCTTCCCCCGTACTATCCCCTGCCCCGCTGTTTTCTGTAACCTACTGATCATCCCTCCTCCCTTCTGCCACCCAATACCCTCGCTTCCTTCCCCACCCTGCAGCGCTGTATAGCTCTTGTGGCTTAGCGCTTCTTTTTGATTATAATAATAATTGAGAGTCACTGAACCTCTGTTGCACAATATATCTATCCATAGAGGCCTGTACCTCTCGTTCCTTTATGACTTTCCTAAAGTGGTTCACAACATTGTTAGTGTAATAGCCACCAGCATGGCTTGCAATAGCTGTGTCAGGGTGAGTTTCATCAAAAAAGGTTTGCACTTCAAGCCACATTGCACACATTTCCTTAATCTTTGAAGTAGGCAACTTCTTCAATTTCTCTCTCCCCTCCTCCGAAGCAGTTTCCTCAGGGCTGGGGTCTTGCTGTTGAAGATGATCTAGCAGCTCATCAGTGGTTAGCTTGTCATTGTCCTCCTCCACCAACTCTTCCACATCCTCCCCACTAACCTCACCAATATGAGCACTAGTTCCAGGCATTTTTTGATGTTCACCTAGGTGTTAGTCAACTGTTGTGGGTCGCATCCTGGGGGACAAGATTAAGGACCCCAATGGAAATAAGTTAGACAGTCCTCGATGATGCACTGACTTTCTTGGGTTATCCTGGGTGGCTAACCCTCTGGGGTTAATCGTTTCTCGGTAATTGTTTCATGTTAAGCCATACCAACAACACACTCTCCACATCTTCGAGTAATACAGCTGATGTTGGTGCAGCAACAGCTGTCTGTTGTGCAGCAACAGCTGACCGTGGTGCAGCAGCAGCTGACTGTAGTGCAGCAACAGCTGACTGAGATGCAGCAGCAGCTGACTGAGATGCAACAGCAGCTGACTGTGGTGCAGCAGCAGCTGTGGTGCAGCAACAGCTGACTGGTCCAGCAACAGCTGACGGTGGTGCAGCAGCAGCTGACTGTGGTACGATAGTATTTCTCACCCTTTTTACCACAGGGTTGGCACTAGAAGCTTTCTTGGGGCCCATGGTCACTTATTTTGCAGGTGAAATTACTAAAAACGCTGTGATAATATGAAAAGTTCCGATTGTATGCTTGTATGTGACCGTGGAGGCTGGCTTGTAAACACTGCCACCCACGGAAGAAGTGAGGCTGGCTCAGGCTGCACATGACACGTCTCGGACGAATCGCATTGAGCAAGTTTTTTAGTGCTAGGCGAGGCAAAATTTTTGCGTTAAAATGTATCGCTAGGTGGATTTAACTTTATGCTATGCCATCGTTAGGCGAGGGTCCACTGTATGTCAACCCATTCACGACTGCATATTGGAATGGACAGTGATGTCATTTGTTTACACTGAAACAGGCAAGCAGTGGACCATTTCTCCTAGGTTGAGCTCAATTTCAAGGCACTTTTCGCCGTGAAAGCAATCAAAATCATACCTATTTCTGTAATATATCTTCCATTCTATCAAATGAGATAAAAAAAATGAGAATACAACCATAAAAACCATATGAAAATACAGTGGACCCCCGGATAACGATATTTTTTCATTCCAGAAGTATGTTCAGGTGCCAGTACTGACCGAATTTGTTCCCATAAGGAATATTGTGAAATAGATTAGTTCATTTCAGACCCCCAAACATACACGTACAAATGCACTTACATAAATACACTTACATAATTGGTCGCATTGGGAGGTGATCGTTAAGCGGGGGTCCACTGTACCACTAAGGGATGGCTAATTGCTGAGAAGTGCGCTCCATTATTTATGCTTAGATTTCTTTCATTATTATTATTATTATTATTATTATTATTATTATTATTATTATTTATTATTAGGAAGGGTTGTTGAGGTGGTTCGGACATGTAAAGAGAATGGAGCGAAACAGAGTGACTTCAAGAGTGTATCAAGTCTGTAGTGAAAGGAAGGTGGGGTAGGGGTCGGCCTAGGAAAGGTTGGAGGGAGGGGGTAAAGGAGGTTTTGTGTGCGAGGGGCTTGGACTTCCAGCAGGCATGCGTGAGCGTGTTTGATAGGAGTGAATGGAGACAAATGGTTTTTAATACTTGACATGTTGTTGGAGTGTGAGCAAAGTAACATTTATGAAGGGGTTCAGGGAAACCGGCAGGCCGGACTTGAGTCCTGGAGATGGGAAGTACAGTGCCTGCACTCTGAAGGAGGGGTGTTAATGTTGCAGTTTAAAAACTGTAGTGTAAAGCACCCTTCTGGCAAGACAGTGATGGAGTAAATGATGGTGAAAGTTTTTCTTTTTCGGGCCACCCTGCCTTGGTGGGAATCGGCCAGTGTGATAATAAAATAATAATAAATATTATTATTATTATTATTATTATTATTATTATTATTATTATTATTATTATTATTATTATATAAATAATTTGTAATTTTTATTCACACAAAAAATATAAGATTTACTGTGACGTCATTTGTTTATACTGAAACAGCCAAGCAATGGACCATTTCTCCTAGGTTGAGCTCTATTTCAAGGTACTTTTTGTCGTGAAAGCAATCAAAATCATATCTATTTCTGTAATTTATCTTCCATTCTATCAAATGAGACCAAAAAAACGAGAATACAACCGTAAAATCCATTCGAAATTACCACTAAGGGGTGGCTAATTACTGAGAAGTGAACTCCATTATTTATGCTTAGATTTCTTTCATTTTTTTGTGTACATTAAGAAGCATCTTTCCATCATACATTGCCCAGGTTTCAAAAAGATAGTCCAACAAACAAATGAGATACAATTCCTGAGATCAAGAGCAAGAGCCCCTCACCAGTGTCAAGGAACCTGCCTTGAGGCTCGCTTGTGGAAATTTTGCTCACGTATGGAAGCAAAAAATTGACCCATCGACTGCTTGTAGTATTTGGAAAAACTTGCACGTGGACACGCTCACAAGGAGAGGTTCCACTGTATTTGGGACTTAAGCATCCAGCAAGCATATGTTAATATGTTAGGAGTAAGTAGAGAGGAGTGATTTTGGGAAGTTTATGTGCTGTTAAAATGTGAACATATTGGATAGCCAAACTTGAGCTCTGGAGGTGGGAAGTAGTGTTCATTTCCTGCACTTTGATTGATGGGTGGGATGTGATTCTGAGGATCATTTGAATTGTGAGGCTCATGCACTCCTGGAAAGACTGCTAAAGAATGAATAACAATGAAGAGGTTTCCTTCTTTAAGTTACCCTACATTTGGTGGGATGTGGTTGATGGATTAAAAAATTGTTGCCTAGAAGATAGAGCTGTTGCTGCTTGCCTGAACACCATGGTATCCTGACATACTGTCATTCAACACATGGAAAAATGTGGTTCACCACAGAGAAAAGTAGACCTCTGGCATATTTGGATCTAAACTTACTTGGCAATAAAGAGTTTTAATGATGCAGTGTCTTCACAATTTTGTGCAATACAGTGGACCCTCAGTTATCGGCCATAATCCATTCCAGGAGGTCGACCTAAAACCGAAATGGCCTAAAACTGAAATAATATTTCCCATAAGAATTAATGTAAATACAATTAATCCATTCCAGACACCTAAAAATATTAACAAAAAATACATTTTTTAAAGATTAGTTACAGTTTTACATACACAAAACATTGAGAACTAAATAAAATAAATAAATGAACATTTAAATCACAATTACTTACATGCCTTTATTGAAGACTCTTGTTGGCTTCTGGAAGACAGGGAGGAGGAGAGAGGGTGGACTGATTATTGTTTGGAAGGTGAATCTCCCTTCATAAGGACTTCAGTTATCAAAGCCCTCTCTGAGGTTACTTCCCTCTCTGCTTGCTACACTCCCTGCCTCCCTTCCACACACTGTTTCCCGGCTACACTCCCTGCCTCCATGTTACACTCCCTGCCTCCCTGCTACACTCCCTCCCTCCATGCTACACTCCCTCTCCATGCTACACTCCCTGCCTTCCTTCCATACCATATGTGTAAAGAACCTAGGATAACCCAAAAGAGTCAGACAGTGACTTATTTCCATTGGGGTCCTGCCTCCCTGCTACACTCCCTGCCTGCCTGCTACACTCCCTGCCTGCCTGCTACACTCCCTGCCTCCCTGCTAAACTCCCTTTTGCAGCATTAGCTTCCTTAATTTCTACTTTCTTTGCCAGGATGGAAGTGATTGTTGATTGGGATTTCCCATACATCTTGGCAAGTTCAAGCACTTGAACACCACTCTCATACTTTTTAACAACTTTCTTAAATTCTATTGTGTTTCTCACTTTCTTTACCAAAGGAACTTTACTAGGAACTTTCTTTGGGCCCATGGTTGCTTATTTTGCAATTGCACTCAATTAGTAACCACAAAAAACAATGGATTATAGTGAAATGTTTGGATGAATGAGCAGAAGTTTCCTCACTCGTCCTGACTGTGAAAAGAAAGATTTATTTGTTTTAATTTCAGTATAGCATGACAGTGTATAATGGTTATGTATCATAATAATTTCTAGTTACTGTGTAGCTTAGACTATTTTAAACACCTGCGGCACATTACTAGTTAAGAAAAAGTTTGCTCCCTGCCTTTGACTCTGTGACAATTTTTCTTAGCTTCTGTCTGCTGTGGGTGAAGTACGGAGAGCAGTGATGGTATATCCTGAAGAAGAACCTATCATTCCTCCACCCCCAGATATATCGTCTCTCTCACTTAATGGTAAGGCAAATTTAGATTAAGTTTTTTCACTAATTTCTCCAGTTTCATAAGTGTTTGAAAGGTAGATCATGAGTGCTTGAAAAGAAGTAGATCTTTCATTAATAAGAGATGAATAGAGGTCAGAATAAAAGTTTTAATATATCAGGTTTTAACAAGTGGTAATGTATAAAAACCAATTGGTGAAAATTTTATGCCTGTTTATTTTAGGAAAACTAAGAATGTTACATTAAGACGAAGGTTGTAACATACAAAGATTTTTTTAACCAGCTCCTTTTATTTCATTAATGTATATTAAAAGATTATTGCATAATAAACGAGAGAATTCTTGGAAGTATTTTGGTTTTTAATGGTTTCAGAATTGCATTACTAAAATAAATTCTATAACTACTATTCTGTATTTTTAACTAAAAATCAAACTTTTTCAAGCTCCCTGTTTTTTTATGGATGCTACAGGTAAGCTTGCTGTGATTATTTATGTTCATGATAAGCTTGACCCAGGGCCAGGCTGTGGGAATAGGAAAATGCTTGAAACCCTTCAATAGGTATATTGGAAGCATGGTGGATTGAGAATTTTGTAAAATGTAGTGTGCTGTAAGCGCGCACACCTGCCTTTGTAGTGATGTGGTTATTGTAATTACTAATGCATTCTTATTATGTGTCCCCCGTGGAGAGGATATTTGCCTTCTTTGTTGACTTTTTCTGTTGCTTGTTTATTTTCAGACCGTAATGTGAGAACTTTCTCCTTGCATTTATGTACAGTTAGAAAATAAAGCTTCATATTAAAATTCAGGAGTTTAGCTGAAAGGGACTTTATTACTGTATAGTCATGGTGCAAAATGTGAAAAATACCACCAAACTTGACACACACAAATTCCTCAGCACAGTACATTCTGTAAGCCTCATGGTAGTTTTCAGTACTACAGTATCATAATTATATTTTAAATATTTTTAAAATTTTAAAATATATTGCTCTGAATGAGTTTGCCATTCAGTATGTCTTAGGTACTGTATAAATTTTCAGCTTTGTACCCAACCAGACATGACAACTCAAATGACCCAGTGAACTGCAAAACCCCACCCGTCCTTCAGTGTGTAGACACTGCACATTCCATCTGCAAAACTCTTGTCCAGCTTATTGGTTAGCCTGAATTCCTAAGATTCTACCATGTTCACACTCCAACTGCATGTTGAATATCATAAACCACTTGTCTTTACTTAAGCCAGTCTAACATTCTCACATTTGCCAGCTCTATTCTCAAGCTTCTAACACTTAAAACCTCTTTAAACTTTAACTCAGTGCTAGAACATCTAGCTTTCTTTCATTCCTAACATTAACTGTCAGTTCTTCCTTAACATCTGTATTGCATCCATGTGCATATATTAGTGTTTTTAAGGATGGAAAAGTACTTTTTTATATAGAGTTCAGTGAACTACTAGGAATACAGTTTATAAGTTTTTTCTTTTAAGTGACCAGTGTCAGAACCTTGCTCCTTTTAGCCCAGATGTGGAGAGCGTGGAGGAAGAAAGAAATGAGACTGCTATATACTTTGTAACTTGTTTTTCTTTGTTTACTGAATACCTGTGTGCATTCATAACTTTCCTTCCGTTCACAGTCTGTTAATGGTCTTTCCTCTCCCTCTCTGCAACAGTGATCCTCAGATTTTTATTCTGAAATTTCGCTTTCTTGCTATTCTTTCTTTGTGGCTATTCTTCAGATTTCATAAATTTAGTCTTCTCTCGTGCTGAAAACTTTATTCTTTCTTAAGCACATATCTCTAATGAAGACGTACTTTGCCTTCACCATATTTCTAAATTGTAGAATTTCAAGAATGGCTTGTAGCTCTGTGGTAGGACTTTTGGCACACAGCTGAAGGATTTAAGTTCACTCCTAGACAAATGGAGAGACTATGTAAGTCTCCTTACAACTTCTGTCTCTCTCCACCTAGCAGTAAATAGGTACTTGGATTTCATCCTAGGGGTGATACTGTAACTGTTGTTAGCCTGTAAATGGGATTGCTTAAAAACACCCTTTCTTCTTCTTTCTTTCAACACACCGGCCGTATCCCACCGAGGCGGGGTGGCCCAAAAGGAAAAACGAAAGTTTCTCCTTTTACATTTAGTAATATATACAGGAGAAGAGGTTACTAGCCCCTTGCTCCCGGCATTTTAGTCGCCTCTTACAACACGCATGGCTTACGGAGGAAGAATTCTGTTCCACTTCCCCATGGAGATAAGAGGAAATAAACAAGAATAAGAACTAGAAAGAAAATAGAAGAAAACCCAGAGGGGTGTGTATATATGTGCTTGTACATGTATGTGTAGTGGGACCTAAGTGTAAGTAGAAGTAGCAAGACGTACCTGAAAACTTGCATGTTCATGAGACAGAAAAAAGGACACCAGCAATCCTACCATCATGTAAAACAATTACAGGCTTTCGTTTTACACTCACTTGGCAGGACGGTAGTACCTCCCTGGGCGGTTGCTGTCTACCAACCTACTACCTAGGAAAAACACCCTTTACCTTTTGTATATTAAACTTACTTTGTTGAACGAATACATGTCAAAGCAATCTGGTATTGTATACAAATCTCCTCCTGCCACTAACATTTAGCTAATAAATCACATTCTTAACACACTTCTTGGCTTCAGCTTTCAGTAGAATTTTTGCATCTCCCAGTACATTATAAAAGGATCTAATCATACTGCACATGACTTGGGTCTCTTCATTTCCCATGTTTTTGACCTTACTTTTGGCTTTCTTTATAGTTTTACTCACATAACTTGGTTTAAAATGAACCAGAATACTGTTTAATTTTATATCCACTTCGTGTTTTTTCTGTACTCTATTGTTTCTACCACAATATTGTGATATCCAGTTTGTGGTTTTTCTATACTCTATTGTTTCTACCACAATATTGAACTAGTTGCCAATTTTTAGGTTTGTTAAGAATTTAATGAACATTTTAGTATCAGTTACTAGCTACTGTTCCTGCAAAAGAAATTGTTGATGCAGTGGAAATCAACAATATTATACAATTTATATAATTTTACCTTAAAATGTTAATAAAAGGATGAACACTTACTTACCTTATCCTCTGACCTAATGTTGGCTCATTCCACCTTTAGCTTTAATTACTTATTCAATTTTTGAAAGCATACTATCAGAAAGAGTCTTGAAATAATTACTGTCCATTGTGATCCAATGTCTATTCCTTGCCAGGGCCAAAACAGAACCCTCCTCTTTCATAATAAGATTATAGGGCCCCATTATGATCACTGGCAACCAAAATATAAGCTGTCAAACAGTCAAAATTGGAGACAAGAGTGCACAAAATTTAAGCTTCCTACAGTGAAGTGTGAGCTGCCTGACATACAATCAGCTTCCTTAGCATTTCCCATATAGGTTGTCTAGTGCAAGAGAAATTTACACACTGTAGTTTATAGTACTGTATAGTGCTTGAAAACATCTCTATTGATGAGCAGTCACAACATTTAAGCCTAATGCAATGCTGGGAAAAGAAATTGCCAAGCTGACACTGCAAAAAAAATTGTTGAATTTCAATCACTATACAGTACTGTAAACTACAGTGTGTAAATACTTGTGGCTTAAAGTAGGTATGAGGAATATTTCTTATATAATGTGTTAGTTTTGACAAGTTCAGATCATTTTGACCAGCTTTAAGGCTCTCATTTCAGTAGCTGTGCCTCAATCTGTGGTGTTTTTGGTACATTTTAATTCAAGAAAGTACAGATTTCTTACTGTATGCATTTTTATGTAAAGTTATGGGCAGTGTATGATGTAGGTAGTAGTAGTGTTCAAGAAGATAGAGGAGATGGAAGAGAGTATGGGGCTCAGAGGTGAAGAAAGGGATTCAGTATTCAAGATTATTTCATAAAACTGTATTGTGAGATATACTGTAATATGAGACGGGGGATTCCTGAGTCAGTTGCCCAGATGCAGTCAAACCATATCTAGTAATTAATAATGTCAATTATTTGTTTAATTTCTTCCATACTGACACTTTTTAAGTAAGTGTTGAAAGAAGCATTAGATGGGTTATAATGACTTAATTACTATTAAGGAAGCTTTAAGGTATAGTATGTGTATAACACCTTTTGGCACAAAAAGCTTGCTGAGAATATGTGCCTTTACCTTCAACAGCAGCTCCTCCACGACCTCCAGCCCCTCCAAAAATCGACCTTGATGATGACATTTTTAAGGTGGACTTTATGAAAATCTTTGGGGAGCCGGAGATAGCACTGATCCCCTCACAGTATCAGGGCATCCACTTACCAGAGAGAGGTAGAGTTAGTAGACATGACCCTGGATTGGCTGGCTCATTTTGGTCATGGATTAAGTTTGGAAAGCTTCAAAAAAATTTAGCTTGTGAACTGGAAATTTGCCCTGACATTTATGAATGCTAAGGGCCAGTGATGTATTTTACAAGTTTTGTAAACAGTAGATGTTTGATTAAATTCCCCCCCCCCCCTTTTTTTTTTTTGTTACTGAATTCATGATTATCAAAAACCTTCTGATTTGGATATGATCACTTATTTATTGGAAATGGATAAACTTGAGTATTATATCTCCATTATTTTGGTTTTGCAGTCATGGAAATACATACCATCAAATACATAAATACTGTGTATTTAAATAAATGTCCATAACAAACTATTAATAGTACAAATTCATCATTTGCTCATAAGACAGAGTTGTTCATCCTGTTCTACACAAATTCATCACTAAGCAAGAAGATAATTACAAATGTGCACAAATAAGACAAACATGCCTAAGGACTTGCTGTGTTTACATGGCCTGAGTGTTCAGACCCAGGGACCATCACAATATGGCATTAGGGCATCTTATGGAAGGTCCAACATATTAACAGGAAACCACAAGCTTGTGTTAAAATATATTGACAGTGGTAGATGAAATTTTACAGCAATGAAATTAATAGTGAAGCTAGTCACAATAAATGACAAATGCTAAATAGATTTAAGATCTTTAATTGTTGCACATACAGGTCCACATCCCTTTATCTGAAATTCTGAAATTCAAAAAGTTCCAAAAACCGAAGTTTTTTCGTGGAGTGTGGAGCGTCGCTCATCTCCGTGCTGGGTCACGCCACCAAGTGGCGGCATTGAGAATCATTCTGAAATTCGAAAAAGTCTGAAATTCGAAACAATACAGGCCCCAAGGGTTTCGGATAAAGGGATATGCACTTGTATTTCAAATGACTATGTTTTACATACAAACCAAATATACACAGATTACAAAAAAAAAATGAATAGGGACTGGAGAATTCCCATAACCCAGGGTATAAATCACTTCTGAAAGCAAAAATAGGTCATAGGTGGGTCCAATATGACAATCTTGTGCCTATGAAACTCACGGCAATCAGCTAAAATTCTGATAAGCTTCCACAGCTTACTACTAGCTAACATGTCACTCT